CAATGGCATGATTGGATAACTGCAGTGTGCTGTTTGTGGGGCTACCTTTGGGGTTCGTCTCTGGAGGCTGTGGCTGGTGCAGAACGTGGTGGCTAGGTTGTTTGTGGAGGCAAATTATCACCCACATATAACACCTTGCTATCAGGATTTGCACTGATTGCCAATCTGCTACCAGGCCAAGTTCAGTGTGTTGGTAACTAACATATTAATGCCCTGGATAATTCAGGACCAAGTTACATGAGAGACTGCCTTGCTCTTTTTATGTCCGGTAGATCCCTGGGGTCTGTGGGGAAGATTATCCTGCAAGTTCCAAAGATCTCAAACACCAGCTCTGCAGTAACTCTATGGCTTGCCCCTGTTCCTATAGAGAAATGACAGGCCCCTCTATCTGCACTTTCCAGAAACAATTTAAGATACTTTTGTTCCGACTCGCATTCCCAACTGGATAAATGGGTCTTTGTCATGAGTGTTTGTTTTGTATTGTTTTAGTTTTGTTTTATATATATCGGTTTTTATCTGATTTCATTGTACATTGTCTTGATTGTGTAGAAGGGAATTAATATGTTGTTGTTGATGATGATAATAATGGAAGAAAAGGCAGGGTTGTTTCAGGGGGAAGGAAACCTTTCGGAGGCTGAGGGTGCTGGAGGTGGATGAGCAAGGAGAACAGGGAAGAATTGGTCAGATCATAAGAGCAAAGCCATGTAGGGTTTTGAAGGTAAGGGTGAGAAGTTGGTGCAGGATTCAGGAGGGGTGTAAAATCAGCTCCAGTGATGGTCAGGGAAGTGGCAAACTAGCCCTCCTCTAGCCTGTCGCTGTCATTGGCTCTATCTTTGGTAGGCTGCTCTACCAGACCTATGAGTACCAGCCACCTGTGTTCCACCAAAATAAAGACAGAGAAGCAGGATGCCTGTTGCAAAACATGTTACTGATTATGCACATGATTTAAAAAGAATAAGGGATACAGTACTACTGTTGCTTTTGCTTTCCGTATGATGTTATTATAGAGCTATACTCTAGCGAACCAAAATAAGTAGCATGGGAGTTTTTGTTTGTTTGAAGTGTGTTTGTGTGTAGGAATAATGCTAGTTTTTATCAGTTGGGGCCTGCAGGCAAACCAACTGATTATTTAATTTTTATACCGCTTAATAGATTAAAAATATCTTCGAGCTGTGTACAAAAAAACTGAAGCAACAACAGACACCTTAAAATTAAAAATACACAGTTACAAACATTACATTAATACAAAAAATACTAATATATAAAACTCAATATAAATTCATTTTCCTTTGGACACACTCTCCCCCTCAGCCTCACCCAGGGTCCCAGCAAACTCTCAGCTCACCCACAAAAGTCTCATACTGAGAAGCGTTCCTAGAAACAATGGACATTACCCTAGTCTCTCATGCTAGACTTGCTTTATATGGGCAGGCCCAAGGCGGATGGTACTTCCTGCCCACAGCTGTGTCCAATTCAGCAATACTCTGCACCCAGTTCCAAGTGCAGCAGGTTTGTTGAGTTTTCCCCCAGGGTGGCGGGTGGTCCAGAGGATGGGGGAAAGCCCCCACTCCACACACAGCTCTTCCTCCGCCCTCTGTCCTCTTCTCCTTCTACAGCTTCTCCTTCTACAGCTGCTATTCCTGCGGACGCCAGGTGCCAGGCACAAACAATGGGGAAGGTGTGCTGCTCCCTTGGAGGCATCTGGTTGCTGGCTCTTGGCAACTGAATGCTGGACCAGATGGGCTCCTTGGCCTGTTCCAGCAGCGGTGCTCTAAGGTTGTGTTGTGCGGACATGCTCCCATTGACCGGTGCTTGCTCCTGCTGGTTTGGGAAGAGGCGTACAGGCGACCATATACTCCTACTTATCATATGCTCTATCCCCTCTCTCCAGTCAGCTTTGATCCAAATGGGGGTGGTACTGTGTGTACACCCCCCTTTGTGTATTATGGTTCCTTAAACGCATTACATTTTCGGTGTGATGCCGTTTTGTTTATGAAACCTGCGCGCCCCTTGGTAAGAGGATGGGTTGTTGTGCGTATGGCCAAAGAAAAAAATCCTTTTAAGAAAGAAATCTTTCTTAGCGCGCGCATCCCCCCTTCCTCTTTATGTGGGGAGGTGGACAGAGAGGAGGCGGCGAGCGGGCGCGCGCACCATCCCTTCACACTGACCCAGATGGCCGTTGGTCTCATTCGGGTTCTCCCCCCCCCCCCACTTTTTGGTGGCGAGCGCCTCAACAGAAGCACCTCTCAGTTTTGTGCGCGCGCAACCTTTCTCTCCCGCCTCCCACCTCGCTCCATCTGGTCCGCGCGCTTTTATACCTTCCGTTTCCACTACTCCCCCCCCTCAAATAAACCCTCCTCCCCTTCGCGTGCCGCGCGGGCAGGCAGACAGGCGAGCTCGCTGCCCCCATTTCTCTCCCCCCCCCTTTTAATAACCACACGCACACACACTCTCTCTCTTCTCCCCTCCCTCCCCCCAATGGCTGAGCAGCTAAGCGGCTCCGCCTTCCCCTCCCGGCCAATAGAAACTTACTACTATGTTATGGGGCGGGGGAGCGGGAGGTGGTTGTAGGAGAGAGAGAGACCTGGGGCCCCTCTTCCCCCCCGCCTCCTTTTCTCCTCCTTCGTTGGGCGCCTTCGGCAAGCACTATCAGCGCCCAGCATCAGCCGCTGGGGAAGAAGGCAGGCAAGTGAGGCGACCATAAGCGGCGGGGTAAGGGGAGAACTGCGGCGTGGGGGCCGGCGGGGAGGGGGAGAGATTCCACAGCGCGCGCGCGCGCCTCCCGGCCGTTGTTTTTTTCGCTTTTACCTCAGAGAGGGACGCGTGTATCTTGTTTGTGTGGAGGGAGACGGTTGGCGAGCGCTGAGGGGAATGCGCGGGGTGCCGAGTGGCGGCGGCGGGAGCAGCTCAGAGGGGGGGGGGAAGGCTCAGGGGGAGAGAGCTCTACGGCCCCCGGGAATTGGGTCGCATTTTAAGGTGCCGTCTTTTGCCTCAGGCGAGCCTCATGGTGGGGAAAAGGGTAGTAGCGGCGCGCGGCTCTGAGGCGCAGCGGGAGCCTCCTGCGCTGCGCCAAGCGGGGGGCGTCGGGATGTGGCGCAGGGAAGGAAAGGAAAGGGGGTGGTCTCTCTCTCTCTCTCGGCTGGATCCCTGCCTGGCGCTGAAGAAAAACCACGTTTAGCGCTAGCGGCGCCTCTTGAAAACCGTATGCGTGTGTGTTGTGTGTGCGCGCGCGCTTGTGTGCTCGGGCGCGCGCTTGTGTGTGTGCCTCGCATCATCCCTGCCAGGGGATGGGGAGAATTATGGGATGGGTAGGCTGTGTGACTCCATAAGAAGATCGCCTTGGATTGTTGGTGGGGAAGGGTTGTGAGGGGCGGGGAGAGGAAGGAATTAAAAGGAGAGATGGCGGGTTAGCATCGGGGGGATGGCATCCATTTAGTGTCCTGCTCTCCCTCCTCCTCCTCCTCCTCCTGGAGATTTGCTTGCAGGGTGGGCGGAGAGAGAGAAATATAGATGCGCTAAATTAAAATCTCTCTTCCCTCTTACTTCCCTCCTCCCATTTTTTAACCTCCTATATTTTTTTTGTATTTTATTTGTGGTCGTAATGACAGGAAAGGAGGAGGGTGATGGTGGGCAGAAGGATATGGCAGTGACAGGTTGGAGTCTGAACGGGGTGGGGGGGGGATAGAGAGGACCTTCTTCCGCAGTTGTATAAGCGTTGGAGGGAGGGGGAGGGGAGAGAAACAAAGCAGCTCAGGTAGAGGGGGATGGCTTGCAACATTGAGATGGAGTCCGAGCAGTCAGTTGTTGCTAGCAGATGCTGTTCACATGTGTGCCCTGCTTAAAGAGAACGTTGTCGCTGCCTTCAAAACAATACATACTGTTAGTTGTGAGCACTCAATCTTCCTCATTTTTGTTTTGTTTTGATCACATTCATACACATCTTCCCAAATACAGTTCAGAATAATTTTTTTGCTTTTGCTCTTGTGAACATCAAAGAATATTATGTAGGTAGCAGAAGTAGTTTGAAATTTAAAAGTGATATAAAGCTAAACTATTCATGGACACCCAATGATGTTTACCTCTCACTTTAAAATAAAGGTTATGGGAAATCTTTGGGATATTTTTTATTTGAATTGGCTGCAATATTTGATGGGTAATGTGTTTATTTCCTGTGGGGGTTTTTTCAACCATGGGAAATAGGATGGGTGGGTCTTTCTTAGATGAGACTGTGATATTTACCCCAACTTTGAAATTGTAGTAACTTGGAGCTACAAATTTTGACCATACGGGGAAATAAGGAGGCAAGATACAAATATTCGTTGAACTGTGTCACATTTCATTCATTTAACACCAAAGGTCTGCAGAAGGAAACAAAGAGAGTGGGATACTAACAGCACATAAACTGGGTGAGCCAACCCTGCCTAAGGCAAGAGGAAGCATTTTGTCTACCCACTTTGCTTAATCTGCCCCCTTTGAGATAAGTAAGGAGGCCTTACTGCTTCATCTCCTCCTGGCCTTCACAACTAGGGCTGAATGCTGCAGGTTGGCCTTGGAGGTGCTCCTTACCCTGCCAGTGCGTCCCATAGACCTGAAAGTAAGTCACAGGGCTGCCTTTAAAATGGCTAAGAGAGCTCACCAGACTTAACTACGTGACAGCTTCCTGCCCCTGCCTGCTGATGTGGCCAGTTGTGACTGCACATACCCAAACCACATTTTTAAAAAGCTTCAAGTAAATGTTCATTCAAAATTTGATGCAGCAGTTTTAACTACATCCATATAGCAAGCAGCGCATGGATGTATACATAGCATATGGTGAAGTGGGTTTTGGCCCACAAAAGCTTATACCTTGGGTTACAGACGCTTCAGGTTGCATTTTTTCAGGTTGCGGACCACCGAAACCCAGAAGTACCGGAACTGGTTACTTCCGGGTTTCGGCGGTCGTGCATGCGCAGAAGCACCAAATTGCAACCCGCGCAGACGCGCCGCTGCGGGTTACGAACGTGCATCCCGCACAGATCACGTTTGCAACCCAAGCATCCACTGTATTGTAGTATGTGTCCTTAAGACACCACAGGGATCTTTGTTGTTTTTGCTGCAATAGACTTAACACAGTTGCTGTTCTGGAAATAGTAAACATGGATGGCATTAAAATTAATATTACAGAATGCTGCAATAAGGATTGCATGTGTGAGATCTCAGACTGTAACTTAATATATCTGTAGTCTTTCTGATATATCTTGCACTTCAAGTTTTCTGTATAAGCTGGTAGTAAAGGCTGTATATTACAAATGTATACCTACTGTGATGAAATATTGCAGTATCAAGTTGTAAAATAAAGGTGTGTGGAGAAAAGGTTTTTCAGATACAATTTCTCTCCTAGGAATCTAGTATTCAGGGTTTTAGCAATATCCACTTTATCTTGAGTCCACTGGCAGCTTTATCAGTTGTACCAGCTGTCAGAGTTTTGTTTAATGATGTAATCCTGTGTTAATAAGAGAATTCCAGCTGCTGAATGCGTTGAAGCAGTTCATTTGCCTTTTGTAAACAGTTAAAATATATTGGACCTTAAATTTCATATTTATTTGTTGCAGACTTACTCATTTTGTCAATCTCAAAGAGACCTGGACTGTACAAAGTCAAGCTATATGTGGCTTCCTGTAACTGAATCTTTAACTCAACCTATTAGTTATACGATGCTGTGTTTTATTGCTTCATTGAGTAAACCAACGGAGTAATGAAGTGTTGGTTTTCTTGCTAAGGCAATAGATTTTCTACATTCATTCTTTGGCTGATCTGACTATAAAGCAGTCTGAGGTGACTGATAGTAGATTTTTGGGGTTGAGACTGATGGATGAAGATACTTGAAAACTTCAAATAAATTATTATAATGTACACTAAATTTTGAATGGCTGAAAATAGACACTGGGGCAATGTGCAAAAGGGCTGAGCTGTCACGTCAGTTCTTGGTGACGTGCCTACTGCTTTACGCTTCAATATCAGCTTAATCATTTTCTCAGTCCGGAGGATTGTATGTAGCCAAACTTCGCACAGCATGCTTTCTACCAAATCTCTGTTGAGCTGATGGAGTTATGGACCCAGAAATGACTATTGTGCTGGGTTGTAAATAGTTAGGTTTTCTGTATGAACAGCTTGAGGAGCGCTTAGTGATACTGGAGGATAGAAGTTCACTATCTAATCTGAGCAGTAGTGCCCAGTAGGCCACCTGGCATTGCTGAGGACAACTTTATCCCTTATGATGTCAAACTTTAAATCATTTGTGTCTATTTGTCATGGATAATCCAATTATTCAAAACAACATCCTTGGTTGTGGAAACGTCTTACTTAAAAAGAGCTCAGCTATGAAGTTTAAACTCTTTTATGTGATAAAAACACACCAGCATGGCTGTAGGACTCTTGTTAGATATAAGCCAAAATATATAGTTATGCGGATGTTCATTGCTTATAGTCCCATGTGAATTTATTTCATTTGAAAAATCCCCCTCCCCCGCAAACTGCAAGTGCATTTTCAAAGGCTTAGCTATGGAAGGTAGTTGTCAGATAAATTCTCTCATGAACTGTAATTGTGGCTTATTGTGTAATGGAAAACGACTCCTATAGTTTTCGAACCATCAGCAAGATAACTTACTTGTTCACAGTTTTAAACCCCTTGTATTCAAGTATTGTTTGATACTATGTTTTTGTTGCTGTGTCGCTTGATGTTTTCTGTTTGCTGCTCTGTATAACAGGGTGAAGTGATCTTCAGTCTTACTTGCAATAAATGAATGTGACATTGAATGTGGCATTGAATTTTGCCATTTTGATTTGCCCTGCTGGAATTTCATTACTACTTCTAAGACACCACAGCAACATTCAACAAGCAGTAATCTAAAAAGGCTATAGTTCAGTGAAGAGCATATGCAACTATACACAGATAATCTTCCTGTTGTGAATGGATGCAGTACTTTCAGTATTGTCACAAGCATTTCTTCCAAATTATGTACTTGTTTGTAAAACACAGAATAAGCAGATTTCCTTACAGCAATTTGTTATATGCACTTTGATTGACATCACATCTATTAAACATTTTATCCCACTTCTCTTCTCCTTAGAGAGGTGCTCAATATTACTTACAAAATCCAACAGAATTAAAACATTAAACTACATTATTAAAACAATAAAATAAGTAACACAGCTGCAAAAAGCATAAGACAAAGCTTAAGAAACCGTCCTGTAAATAATAGTTAACTTAATCAATGACATAGTTAAAGCTTGCTGAAAGTCTTCAGTGGAAAAATACTGTATTTTTCGCACGATTGGACGCACCGGACCATAGGACGCACCTAGTTTTTTTGGGGGGAAATAAAGGAAAAAAAAATTCCCTTTATTTTCCCCCCAAAAGCAGGTCAGGGAAACCGAACCAGGTCGAGGAACAGCGGGATAGTGGCGCTGCGCCTCCCTGCTGTCCCCCGAGCTTGTGGGGCTGGCTGATGTCTGCCTGGCGCGCGGGTTCTCTGCTTCAGCGGGCCCCACCCGCCAGGCAGCAGGCTGCTATCCGCAGCGTGGGGAGCCCTGCGGGGAACTCCTGCAGGGCTCCCCACGCTGCGGATGTATGCCTGGCTCGAGGGGCGCTCTGCTTCAGGGCGCCCCATCCGCCGGGCGGCAGGCTGCTATCCGCAGCTTGGGGA